GATAGTAGTACACTCATCAGACCTTTATAAGCCAATCTTAATCTTGTCCACTTTCGATGTGGGACTAATCAGGGGTGTTACAGATTCTCTCTCTCTCTCTCTGTGTGGCTCTTTCTTGAGTACTGTTACTCACACTCCCACCCTAATGCTCTCTAACTAGCCCTCCCTCACTCCCTTGATGTCTTTGGCTCACTCTTCCACTCACTCTCACTCTCTTTTTACTGAACTCTGCAAAATGAGGAAACACTTTTGGAGCTAGTTTGAAGATTAGGATGTAAAAAGGAAAATCTAGATTCAATTCACAACCACAAAATATATAGACAAACAATGTTAAAGAGGTGGAGATTGACATAAGACATGGAAATTATTGTTCCCCATAGATCTAGTCTGGAAGATAAAGGGAAATAAGGAAAACTTCCTATTAGAGAATATGATAAAGATCATGATGATTTGATTTTCATTGTTCATCTTTTGCTTTTTGTCCAAAACAAAGTATAATATCTCCAACTCTTTTAAAATGATGATATTGTATATTGAGGATGGTATTGTCATATTTTTACATGTTACATTTTAACATGGTGACATCGTATAGATATCCACTTTAGGTGCATGTCAGGAAGAAATTTCACACAAAGAGGACCTATATCATATTTACAGTCCAGTTTGACTCATTAGAATAAAAGAGAAATTCATTGATGAAAAGATCAACAACAACGAGAGGCAATAACTTTGAGTTCATTTTACATATGAGATATATGTTTACCTTAAAAATAACTTCTCCCAACCTGGAAATTTCTGCATTCTGGTCCAGATATCTATGACTGGAAGACCAGACTCTTCAGCAACAGCAACACATGCCTTAGCATAAGCACCGGCCTCCTCATTGGTCCTTTCAGGCAGACCCGATGGGTTGTCTCCATAAGGATTCCTACATGGAGTGAAAATAATTAAACAGAAGCATTAGTGTTTTATGTATGTGCTGTATTCATTTGAACCTTATAAATAGCATCTTTGATACAGGTTCATCATTTTTTTCTTGGCTACTGCTTATATATAAAAGGAGAAAAAGTCATCCTTATTTTGCTTCCTGTCATTGCACATGTTCACTGATATTCTATTAAAGGAACACCACAACAATTCATCTAACCAATAAAGCTTTCCCAATTTATCAATGTGGGATTTTGTACTTGCAGTAAATTGACAGTAGCACACAGCAACATGAATTCATTTGAAAACACATGAATACAGATGAAATTGAAAGTTTTTATTCTAATTTCCTGCATATGGGAGAAACTAATTGCTAGCTACTGCTGTTCAACTATTTTCACAAATATTTGAAATGAAAATAACTTCACCTTTCTAAGAGTAGAGTTCAAAGATTAAATAGTGATCGGACACTGATTTCAATCAGTGGCTGGAATGTATTCTACTGATACCATAGTGTACCAAGTGTAGATATAGTTTATAACCAATAAGTACTGATTGAACCACTATGAGCATAGAAAGAGAGACAAAGAGAGCATGGAGTAGGAGCAGGAGAGGAGAAATGCTGGAGGCAGAGGGAGGCGGTGGTGGCATAGATGAGCAACAAAGGAACAAGAGTGAGAGCAAGAAGAAGGCAGTGAAGTCACGATGCAAACAAGCAGCAAACCATCACTTAGTGATAGGCTCACCACTCAATTCATCTATGAAGGAAAACCTAGGCGAATGGTGAATTCGAGTGTTTGTTCTGTAATACAAAAAAAATCTAAAGTTTAGAATTTGAAGGTCATTAATACTTACTGGATACGACCATCTTCATCAATCGGAGGTGGTGTGATAAGGATCACGATAGTCGAGTCCCATTTATCCTAGGAAAAAAAAAAAACAGAGGATTTAGCAAACACCAAATCTCTCAATAGTTAGCAACCAATAAACAGTCAGGAAATTAATCTTATCAAAACAGAATTGTTTGTGAACCAATATTCTACTTTATGGTATCACAGATTAGGTGTTCTTATTGTTAATCAGAGATGGAAATACAAAATAAACAAAAAAAATGAATATAAGGAGTTTATATATCCATCTGCTAAAACCCTAGAGTCATGTTGTAACCATGCAAAAAACTCAAGTAACGTACATATGAATGCAAAGGTTAGTTAGACCAACAATGTTTCAAATATCAGTCGTTGTGTATTGGCCTGACTAGTATTTATAATTTTGGTGAGCATTTATGCTGGCATACGAGTATGAATGGTGGCATTTATGCTGGTATACGAGTATGGATAGTACAAATGTGTGTACCTAAGTACCATATGGATCTTTTAAGCCATTGATTCTGTTGTGGCCAACATCACTAGTCAAGATAACGGCCATAAAATCTCTTTTTAATCATTTACTACCAAATGTTTTGCAAAAATGATGCTAAATTTCATTCATAGTGTATACTTTTGTCAGAACTTAAAAACATGAATCTTATTATAAAATAAAACTTTGGAAGAATAATCCAAAATCTCATACAGATTGGAGAAGACTGCAAAACAATGAAGCCATATAAATTTTATTCCTGACTTACTTACACACACACACACACACACACACACACACATATATATATATATATATATATATATATATATATATATATCTGTGTGTGTGTGTGAATAAAACCGTGGAAGAATCATCCAAAACAACTTTAACACTGGTCTTTAGACGATGGTCATAAACAAGGTGAGCAAATTGGTGCTTTAGAAATAACAAAGTCAAATAGAACAACAACTGAAATTCTCAAAAGTTTGATGCAATTACTTGATAGCTTAAAGCACAACAGGAAACAAGGACCACATGTCACACCTTGTCTGCTTTATAAGGGGGCTTTATCATGGCCATTGGATTTTGATAGGAACTGTTTTGACTAAAGGTCATTGAACTGGTTGACTGGCTGAACTAATTAACACCATTTCAGAAGTTCAAAAAAACCTTGCCCGTTCTCTTAACCCTCCATCTTCCTCTTCATGTTTTAAATACTTCTTCGGTACATCAATATTTGGTCACCTTTAACTTCTCACTCAATAATTGTGTGCCTTCACCTCCTTGCTTCCTTGGTCATTTACAACTCGTGCTGTCACTCACTTTCACCATTGGCTAGCAACATATTTCCATACCATGCTTCGTACCAAGCATTAAGTTATCTCACTTGACATGCCGTCAAACCCCCCTCCACCACTCATTCTTCCTTCTGGACTCACTAACATTGCTGAGGAGCATGGTAAAAGAATGAGTCACTGATCTTGAGAGGGACAGAGAGAGATGCAAGATATCAATGGAAGAGAAGAGAAGAAGGAATGCAATGAGCATGTCTTTGGATGAGCAAGGCAAGAAAAGCCAACAGTTATGCAAATACAAAAAGGCTCGTTGCGGTCGTAAAGACTAGAGGCAAAAGTGACAACTATAGAGACCATTGCTACAGCCGTTGGAGTATGTCTAGTTACAATAATTCTCTTATAATCTAATTATAGTACAAAATAACCTGGCCTTTCTACAAAAAAAAAATGCTTTTGTTTGCAAAAAACTCATTTAGTTGTATGTTCCAACTAGTTCAGATTGCACAATTTTCTGCCATCCTATCAATATGAATAAATCTAAAATCATTTTTGTGTGATAGATAGTCTCTGGAAAACTGAGCTAGAGAAGTTTTCACTCACAAGGTATAGGCCCGATTGAGAATAAATTGAGAGAAAACCATCTAAGAGTGTGAAAATGTGTTGTGGTTAATGAACGTCGCGTTGAAGAGAAAACTTTTCTAGAAACAATAAAAAGAGGTTAGGAAAGCTTTTGGTTTGAAATATTACATCAAGAAGAGCTCAATTGTCATAAAAGATTCATGTATCGAAGCCCAAACACTTGGCACATTATGATCCATTTCTATTGCTGTTTTTAGTTGCAGGTACTTTGGTACACTCAAGCACCACAAACTTTTATGAACATAACCTCTAACACTCACTTGTAATAATTTTTCATGATAACAACGAGAAGAGAGACAAAAACGAGTAGGGGCAAAATGAATAGGACATTGGGGAAATCTCATCCTACAAATTCAGATAGATATATTAAACGCATACTAAATTCTTTGATTGTATTTTTCGTAAAAACATATACAAATATGGACAAAAATATGTGACACGTATTAATTCAAATCGGAATTTAGGCAAATACATTTATATACAGTCGGATTGGGACACAAACATGGATATGTCATGAAAACGTATGCAATCATATCCGGTTCCGTCTGAAATGGATGTGTCAAGAAGCCATTGCTTTGTTTTTGTTCCGCCGTGTCGACACGTAGAAGTAAAAAAGGGCGGAGAAGTTACGTACCTTGAGGAGGGAGCAGATGGCACGTAGGTTGGTGCCGTACTCACAGAGGGGCACGTGCTGGAAGCCGCTGCTCCGGTCGGAGAGGGACGCATCGTTAGCGCCGAAGAAGACGGCGACGGCCGCCGGTGGCTCGCCGAAAGAAGCACCGTCCATTGCCCGATCCAACACCTTCAGCGCCCACCGCGTGTTGTACCCGCTGTACCCCCGCAGCACGATGTCCGCCTGACAAATGATTCAGGGAATCGAACAGATCGAACCATAACACCGAAACAAAACCCCAGCCGAGATCGGTAGACGGGGAAATGGAAGCTATCGATCGAGGAGGTGAAAAGCAAGCTCACCGAGCGGGAAAAGTGGTGGGCGAGAGCGGCGCCCCAACCCCCGTCTCCGAAGGACTCCTCCGTGATGGAGTCCCCGAACAACACCAGCTTCGGTCTCATCTCTGCTTTCGCGTCGCCCGCGTTCTACTTCGACCCGACCCTTCAATTTCCCCCCGATATATATATATATAGCCGAAATAGAATAAACATATATGATGGTGTACCCTGTCTGGGATGAGACAGCTACCCCCCCACACACACCCTCCCACGTGGCGAAACGTAACAAAACAAGGCCCTTGATCGTTTCCTCCGCCACGTAGATTTGGAGTCACCTCGGCGCACCGAGTGAGTCGCGTATATATCAACTGGATTCTCCTTGGGCAGACGTATGTAAAAAAGGAAAAGATGCTTCTAAGTTATGAGGAGTTCCCTTAATTTTACAGCATTGAAATGGTAAATGATAGTTAAATTAGATGGCAAACCACATCTAAAGCCGTCGCTAGGATCCCTTCGTCCCACGTCGCCGTCTCTTCTCTTTGTCGTGTCGGAACGGGTAAAGACGAAGGGAAGGGACGATCTATGTGGGACGAGAGGCGGCGTGTAAGCAGTGACAGAGCGTGTGCCACGTCGGGGCGGCGACGACTTTAGTTGGCGCCGCTGCTGCAGGGCGAGGTGCGGGGGTGGCGTAGTGCGTCACGTGGGTCAATTGCCACGCGCAAGACACCTCACCGTCGTCGCGACTTTGTTATGGATAGAGTTGATTCGAATGATTTACGATGGCTGACGTAATAATAATTGATCTTAATCTATTATTATTATTATTATTCGATTTTATCACACGTAATAATAACGTAATTATAATTCAAGCATCAATTTTTCCGATGGGGTATTCCTCATCGACATTTCTTTCCTTTCTGGTTTCTATGTACTTTTGTTCCCGGAGTTGCTGACGAGCTAAATTCCCCGAGTCGAGTAGAGACGACGCAGCTCCGGAGAAGGAATCCTTTGCAGCATCCGTCGCCTCCTCCGCGGCTCAGGAACTTAGCATGCTGCATGCCCACCCCTTGTTTTGTCCCTCTTCCGAGCTCCCTCTCGAGTAACGTGCTTGTTCATGTGAGCATGCCCGTCTCCGCTGCACCCAAAAGTGACCCTGATCTGCCAAACAAATTAAGCCGGCAATTATATTATGGAACAGCTAACCAATGCAGTCAAATTAATCATCTCGACATGTGGCCCGTCAAACACAACACAAATTATGCCCACATCTCTGAATCTTATCGTATCAGATAATCTAGTTTTAGTCGACAACAGCTAGTCTTCCCTCTCTCTCTCTCTCTCAGGTACCAGTTGTCTTGTTGCATCTGGGGATGCATATCAAGGCAAAAGAAAGGGAGAAGAAGATAACCACACTGGGATCGTTGGTTGATTTGGGGAGAAGGTTGCCAGGTTGGCTTTCATGTTGCAGCAGCAGGAGGACATGGTCTCTCTTTTTTGTTCCCTGCATCCTCTTCTGCAGGATTCCCAGATGGCCTTGGTTTACCAGCATACACATTCAACGATTTGCAGCTCTGCTTTCTCTTTCTCTAGCAAAGAAGGATTCGTTTCACTGCACTTTGATGATGGTGGGTGAGCACATCCACTTGTTGTTAGCTGCCATGCGAGGTCTTTGTTTGTCTGACTATTTTCTATAGATTCTTTGAGTGAGCGTTGCTTCATGCTTTGCATAAAAGAAATGGCTCAAAGTTTCCTCGGAAGAGCCTGACATCATTATAGTAAACTCCCTGTTGTACTGCCAAACTTCTCTCGACAATATGATATTATGTTTTCGTATTCTTTTGATACAAAATGTGGCCCAAAGCTAAGAGAAGTGGGCGGACATCATTGTGATCTTAACGTAAATCTATTTTTGTATGGATCCAACATCATCATGCATTAGTCCTTCCTTTATCCCATGAGATCCAATATGATATTATCCTTTTTATTTTTCCTACTAAATAGATTTCTTTCGAGAATTTTGACTTGCTTGTTGAAACATTGGTTGGGTTCACGTTTGTGCAGTGACTTCCTCGCCTGGGATTCCGCTGAAGCACCAGTGCTGAGGAAAACGAATGATGCCCAGATGAAATGAACCGTTAATATCCCGGTGATGTGATCCATCTGTTGTCGTAAAGCTGACATACGTGATGTGGTGGGGATCCATTACATTTGGGTCTCGTACAGCTGAGATGGTGGCGCCTCTATCATCGATGGGGAAGAACAGAGTACAAGACGCTGTGACTTGTCCCAAATCAATGCAGGGGAGACTCGCTATGAGAAGAGACCGAGGAGTCGTCCGACCCGACACGTGCTTCGCCCGTCCCTCCTTTCCAACCATGAAGCTCTCCGTCCTCCTCTTTCTCCTCCTCTCCTCCCTCCATCCCTCCTCCTCTCAACGCTACAACGCGCTGTTTAGCTTCGGGGACTCGATGGCCGACACCGGCAACGTCCGCATCGCCAAGCTGCCGTACGGCATGACCTTCTTCGGCAACGCCACCGGTCGGTGCTCCGACGGCCGCCTGGTCATCGACTTCATAGGTACCTACCGCACATATATACCCCTCTTCGCCGGCCACCTAACTGCGGATCATAAACCAAAACTCTGTTGCACGTCCCGCAGCGCAGGCGCTGGGATTTCCGCTGCTTCCGCCGTCTCAGGAGGACCACGACTTCAAGCGAGGCGCAAACTTCGCCGTCGTCGCCGCCACCACGCTCGGCTTCGAGTTCTTCAACGAGCGCAACCTCAGCAGAGGCCTGTGGGTCAATGCCTCCCTCCACACCCAGGTGGAGCGGTTCGAGAGGCTGCTGCCCTCCATCTGCGGCGCCCCGCAAGGTGATGCACATATGCTTGCGATTGCATGCGTTCCCTACATCGACCCGCCCTCTCTTCTTGTCCCTGATACGGTTATTGGACGGCAGACTGCAAGGAGTTCCTGAGCAAGTCTCTCTTCATCGTCGGCGAGTTCGGAGGAAACGACTACAGCACCGCGCTCTTCTTCGCAACGCCGATAGATGAAGTGAACACCTTCGTGCCCCATGTCATCGACGCTCTCTCGGATGGTGTGGAGGTGATTAGCTTCGATCATTTGAGCCATCGTTGGATACCTCTCTCGATTCCCCCACTAATTCTCATCCGACTGGTCCGTGCACGCAGAGATTGATCGGCCTCGGTGCAGCGGACATCATCGTGCCAGGAGTGCTGCCCGTGGGGTGTTTCCCACTGTACTTGACCAACTTCCACACGCCTGACCCCGAAGACTACGGCCCCAAGACCGGATGCACGAGGAGCTACAACGCCCTGTCGTGGTTGCACAACGCACTGCTCCGGAAATCTCTCGACCATCTCCGGCGCAAGCACCCGGCGGTATCCATCCGATACGCGGATTATTATTCCCAGATCATCGACTTCGCCATCAATCCACTCAAGTATGGTGAGTCTTACGAACTTGTTCCCTTTATTCATCCACAAATCTAATTCTCATGAAACTAGTTAGCTTCGGAAGAATGGAACACCGATACTGCTAACTTGGCCATTCCGAAATGATTTCTCTTTGTTGGTAGAGCAAATTTGACTTCCAATATAAAAAAAGTGATCGATGGTTCATGCATTAAGTTACGTAATGAAATGTGAGTCCTCGCAAGCCATGTTTTGGAGATGCACCACAATGAAATCGAGCCACTGGTGGATGATTTCATCGATCTAAATGGAAGCCACGAGGAGCAATTAAAATGCTGTGGATTTAGAGAAAAGAATACTAAGTTTAGGAGTGGCACACACATTAAACTTTAGACCGAGTGTCGGATAGTGGACCATAACATCTTTTTATTTGGATTAGTATGCCAGCAACACCACCTGCCACTGTTGGACCACTCACTCACCCACCCACCACGTTTACTGGCAGTAGTAGTGAAATGGTAATCGGAACATATGCACCGAACTCGAAGACTGAAATGGTTGGCCAGTGATTTATCTGACGAGGGCCAAATATCGATTGATGTGATTTTGAGGCGTGAATCCCTCATGTTCTTTGTCTAATGAATGAATGGACTTTAAACCAACCATGTCTAATCTACGACACATACACACACCCATCATAAAAACATGGGGAAAGCAAAAGCTGAGTCAGGTGTGGCACGCACGCAGGGCTGCGGGAGATGTTTGATCCGCACACGCAAAGCTGGGAATTTGATGCTTTCGGTTGTCGAGGCATGTGAAGATGCGTATGGGGTGTTTGGTTAGGAGTCACAGACGTGTTTCTTCGTCTCGGAAAGAAGCATTAGGCACTAAGGTCGGCGAGGGAATCTCGTGACACGACCTCCGAGAGGATTCATCGTGGGAAGCAGGTGGAAACAACATGGGCAGGAACAAACAACAGTTCGGGAGTTGTCCCCCGTTGCCGATGGATCCCATTGATTGCGGGAACGGTGCCCGGCTTTGACGGGGCTGCACGGTTTACCGAGTGTCGTGAAGCTGGTTGCATGAATTCGAGTGTAGTCTTTGCCTTCGAACTCGACACAAGCAGTCATATTGTGTGTTCCTCTGCAACGTTAGCGCCGTGCAGTTGACATACGTACATGCATGATTTGATGTGCAGTTAAGATCATCTATTTTAACTTGGCACAGGATTCACCGCCGGAGCTCTTCGTACTTGCTGTGGGAAGGGTGACAACATCTACAACTACGACCAAGAAAGACGGTGCAGCGAGAAGAACTTCACCGTGTGCGACGACGTGTCGACACACGTGAACTGGGACGGCATCCACATGACCGAGGCCGCTCACCGTGCCATCGCCGACGGCTGGCTGCACGGTCCCTACGTCGACCCCCCTATTCTGAGCTCCGCCCGTAGTTGATTAGAGCTTTACAGCCGGGAGTACATGCAGCAGCAGCTCCTTGATTACCGAATCAAAGTTTCCTCCCTCTATTCTCTCTTTATAGGAGAACAGCGTCTGTGCTGTTCCGCTGTTCTTGACACATGAGTTCTTTTTTTGATGACTACAGCTATACATATTTAGGATTGGCAACAGGATGATTGATTGTTTTGAGCTGATGATGATTCGAGGGTTTAAAGCATGTCAAGCGAAGAGACATTTATTGATGAAACCTTGTATTATTATTCTTTGAATTTGTTACTCTTCGATTGGTTTTGTTGTGACGGACATATTTCGTAAATTCGTAGTAATCTTCTTTATATATGTGTGTATACGTACATGTACCTTTATTTAGCTTGTTTCTACGACTCTTAAGTGGTATGCATACATAAAGGCAGCTTTATTTGCCTCCTTTGGTTGATTCTGATCTTCCATCTTCGTATCAAACCAGCTGAAACAAGTGGAAAATATTTAGATGTGTATCACAAGAAGAACATCTACTGTTTTAATTCATCAAATTCACATGGATTGCTTATTTACATTAGGAAATCAGAGTATAGCTAACACACTTCTGATGAAGAGTGGATCATCATACATCAATATAAGGGAAGCTCTAGTACCTCAAAGCTCTACCATTTAGAAATACTCGCTGCGGTTGTGGTCTATAAAATTCAATGACGCTTGCCCGATAAGCAATCTGAAGTTTGTTTTTCACAGTGGATACAAACGAAAAAGTAGCATCCTGATGAGTGCAAGCAGAGCGATTATGTGCTTCAACTCCATGGTATAGAATTCATGAAGAGGAGCTTGAGGACTCAGAATGGTGAGATCCTTTGCCTTTTGTTGCTGAATGAGGCCCTTGGCAGAAAGTCTTCTCGTGATTTGACTCTATCAAGTATGGAATTCAGGGCCTGGTGAACAGAAGCCACAAAAAGATGCTTGTCGACGTTGCTAAAGGTTCCTTCGGATGTCATCGTGAGTACATTTTTCATTCGGCCACCCAAAGTTGAAATTTCAGCTCTAACAGTTTTCAGATGCAGACCACTCAGTGCTTGTCTTAGATCTGCAAGGATCTCTGGCCGGTCGTCACAACATAGAGATGCTCTGACCATTAATCTGCCAGCGATCGTCATATCTCCTTCAACTTCAACTCTCACTTCATCAGTATCCGATGGAACAGTGTAACTTTTGTTGATTTCTGCAGCATTCCTCTTGAGTTTCTTTACATGGCTGATCACTTGTGCGAGTAAGGCAGCTTTGTCCATCTGCAAGTAACCATAGCCTCTTAATAACCTGTCTTATAACATTGTTATTTTACTAATCAATTAAACCTAAAACAAGGGAAGTTGCTTTCAAGATGTATCAAAAAGGCACAAAGGACACTTAGAAAACATTTTGTTATTTGGAGGTATATATATTTAGATGCAGTTATGCCACAATATAAATTTACTCATACCAAGAATCACAGATTGATCATGATTTACCAAAAGTCAGTAGTGTTCTGCCAAGTCAAGTAGGAAAGGATTCAGAGAGTGACAGGAACACCAATCAAGCTTATGTTCTAGGTCAAGTCGGCATCGATGACAAGAGATAAGTCGGAAGCCGATCCAGATCAAGTTTGCCCACCACCATTTGCCAGTCAAACCAAAGCTTAGCATATTTTGTTCTACTCATGGGTGCACTTCATTGTTGAGTTTTGACAATAGATCAGTTGACAGCTATATCTGTTACTAAATGAAACATAATCTTTTGAAAATACCATCTCACAGCCAAATAGGTAAGAAGCAGAAGGTCTTGCAAAGAAATTGCAATTCTGACAAAGGATCTAAACAAAAAAAGAAGAAAACAAAGAGGAGGAAAGGGAGGAAGAAAGAAGGATAACCACGAAGATGTGATTCTTTTTGCCTTGTTATTCTAGGAGGGAGGCTAAAACCTATTTTAATGCTAATGAAAACAACAATGAGCTAAAAGATTAATGGAGACATAATTCCAACTAAATGAACCAAAAGATACTGAAAATGGATAAACATTAACTTTCGATCTAACAGGTAAATGAAAGAAATGCACAGAGAACATAATCAAAATCACCCGAAATAACAGCGAGTCTGAAAAGAGTGAAGTGGCGTTAACGGGAGGGACCTCCACAGCACAAGGAAACCTGCCAATTAACTACACAAAACAGAGCAAGAAGAACAAAGAGAGAGCAATTAGTAACCTTGTCATCGCAGGGGACCATGCTCCTCAGCACGGCGAGGTGGCCATTGATCCTCTCCCTCCGCCGCCTCTCAGCCTCGCTGTGGCTCTTCATCGCCATCGCCGTCTTCGCATCCAGAATCCCTGCACCCACCCTCTTGCCTCCCAGCCTCGAAGGCGCCCTTCTTTCCTGATCCAACACCATCGAAGACGACGACCCGTCCGACCCAAAATCAAACCCTAGACCATTAGGAAACCGTCTACAGAACCCCGAATCCCCAACAGGAACAGAACCCATCAGGTGGCAAACAAAGAGAGGGAGAGAAAGAAACCGACGACGACGACGAAGAAGAAGTAGCAACTCAAGATTCAAGCCCTCCTTCGGGAACTCAGGAACCGGGAGGGCGGTTCGTGGGGTAGGACCAGAAGGGGAGCCTCAGCCGCCGCAGTTTCGTCGCTTCGCCCTCTACTTGCTCGCCGAAGTTGGATCCAGTTGCTCTTCTTCTTATGATCCAATCGATTGCTTCCATTACGTGCGAGAACAGAATTGGAGGCAGGGTCTAAAGGGACGCCGGTTTCATCTTCGATCTCCTATTGAAATCGACCATTTCTCCCTCCGTTCCAGGGCGATCAATCTCGGAATCGGTAGAAAGGCCACACCTTTTCGTCGAGGGGGCAGAAGAATCCAAAACTCAATAGTGAGAATGAGCTCTTGCGGGAAGCAAATTGAAGATTTATATACGACGAAGATAAATAAATTAATCCCTAATTTCTTTTTAAGTAATTTAAATGAAAGGATAAGAATGTCAAACATATTGTCACATCAATTTATTCCTTTACAATAATAATAATTTTTTTACTTCCAATAACAAAATTGCAGAAACGTTGTGTCCTATATATATATATATATATATATATATATATATATATATATATATATATATATATATATAACAAATAATGATGTGTGGAGAAATTAGTTTTATAATTTGCAGAAGTGCACCCACCCAAGCACTGTTGGGACTCAGAAATGTGGCCTCTTTCAAAGATGAAAAGGTGGTGGATAAGCATATAGAACATGCGTCCTGTCCCCTCAAGACCTATGTGGCCATATTAACTCTCTCGCTTGTCTCCTCTCGTTGCCTGGGGATCTTATACCAATTCTCTTATGAGCATCGACGAACTGCTTCCCTCCGATTTGATAATGTAAAAGGATGATGATGGTCGAGTTAGGTAGGTAGGTCGCATTTTTCTTCGTCCCCACCGACGTGACGACCTGCTGCAGAAGCATGAAACATACTTGCTCAAAGAAGAATCCACCCATCTCATGGAGGTGCGAATCCTCAGCCGATTTCAAGATTCAAAGCTTCAAAACAAATAAAACCAGCAATTCTACGAGAAGCAAAGCAAATCAAATCAAATCATCTCATACGAGAGAGAGAGAGAGAGAGAGAGAGAGAGAAAAGGAACATAGAAAACTAACTTCTTTCTCTCTCTCTCTCTCTCTCTCTCTACCCGAATATGTATAGTTTATGACTGTCATTGGCAAAAAACATTATTTATACTTGTTAAATAATAGGAACAAAATTAGTTTTGTCATCCATACTTACCACATATGAATATTTTCATGGGCTGGAGATCCATCCATCACAATGCTGGATTAGATGCAGCCAAACATGTCGAGAGAAGCTGACAAGCGAGCTAATGTTTAATTCATTGACAGTGAGTGGAATGAAGATAGGTCATCACGACAGCCTTAATAAGAGATGCCTTTGTTTAACTCATTCAACTCGAGGAGCCCATACGGCGACAGTAAAATGAGAGGTGGTGTTTTGAAGCACTCAGGAGAGCCACAGAAATCGAGCAGCACCTCATCGATTGAGGTTGTAGCATGTTCCGAGGATTGGGTTGTTCACCCGTTAGAGCAGTGTGTGAGTCGACTTCATAACATCGTGATCTCAATGTTCTCATTTGGAAGTAATCGAGGATGCAGCAAACATTATGTTTTACCCTCGTCGATCAAGGAAATCCCTATAATTTGGACCACACATTACGTGATCTTTGATGCAGCAGTACGATTCTTGCGCGCAAAGCAATCGCATGTTATTGTGTTCTCGATCGATGAAGGGGCTCCATTGTCCGAAGATCCATTTTGATAGCGTCGGATTCAACTGGATCACATCGAGCAATGTTTCAGACATATGGGAGTTCAAAGATAAATCAATCTAATCATCTAGATTTATGAAGTTAATGCGTGAAGAGACAAAGCACGGAAATGTCGGCGAAGAAGAACGGAGGTCGGCGACGAGAAGAGACAGTTTTACCTTCTGCTGCAGTGTTACTTTCCCCTCTTCTCTCTCGTTTTTGGAGGTTGCGTCCTGCATTTCACCATCGGTGGTGTATTGTAGCAGTCGGGCCCATTGAGCAATGCAAGAAATGCTATTGTATGCGTAAAACTCACTCATAACCACATATATAGAAAAGAAATAGAACACCTCAAAGAGATACTGTTCATGGCAGCAGATGAACACCGTCGGGAAAGCACTACGAGTGGCTCTTATGGGATCAATTCATACAGATACTGGAAGGATATGAAAGATTACCAACTTGCTCGAGCTCATCTCTCTCCTTCATTTTAGGATATATGTAATCCAAATCTCAAACGCCTCGGTGTTTGACCGGGTGATGGCGAAGGGGAGATAGCGTAGGAATCCCTTAATCAGGGCAGCAATTGAAATCCCACGTACCACAAAACGCTCTGCCTTCTGCTTTATTATATATGGTTCGAGGCAGCCTCGCACTGAGGTTCGCGGTGGAGTGCTGCTGGGGGTTCCTTGCACGTCCAAACCCCCTCACACCACCCTGACAATGCCTTCCTTTTGCCTCTTTGGCTTACCTTGGTCTTGGAAGCAGATCAAGAAGAAGCCGAGGTTTCCCCGAGGTGTGTAGATCGGGCTTTTGGGAGCTCAAAAGATGTATTCTGATGTTCATGTTAAGAAGAACGTATAACATATGCATCTTTTTTAGGGCAAAATCATAACTGTTTTCCTGGGATTCCTCTCTCTCTCTCTCTCTCCTCTCTCTCTCT